GGGGGTTGGGCGGCGCCGGGGGTGGGGGTTGGGCGGCCCGGGGTGGGGGGTGGGCAGTGCCGGGGGTGCAGCCGCCCGCATGTATGTGTCTCTCGCGTGCAGGGCAGGCAGGAGACAGACTGAGACACAGGCCACCTTCTTGGGAGCAGAGGGACCCACACGGGCGCCTCCTTGGGGGTGTGTAGGGTCCCGGGGTCAGTGGCCCCAGCGTGGTGGCCGGACCTCCCGTGGGGGCACGTTTTCCGTGAGGGCAAGAGCAAGTTCTGTGGCTTGCACCAGATGCTGGAAGGGGCCACACGTTGGCCAAGTTTAGGGGCCACAAATATGTCCAAATACGTTTCTCCGCAGCGCCCACAGGTGTGCGTGCGTGAGAGACCCTGCGTGTCCGGGGCACCCAGAAGTCGGCTCTGGAGTTTGCGGGCGCGGCTTCTTGGGAGACGGTGTCTGGTGTGGGGCGGGCACGAGCTCCTCCCGGGGACCCCGGGGACCCCGGGATCGGGGACAAGGGCCGGTCTCCAGCCCAGCCGCGGTGCTGCGGGCCCCTCGGTCCGTGTCGGGAGAGGGGAGGCGGGAGGCGCCTTCGGGATGGACCCCCGGGGTCGGTGCGCGACGCGAAATGCGGACGCGGGTGTCGGGGGGACGCCGCCGCGCGCGGGGCTGGGGAGGAAACGGCGCCCCGCGGCAGCTGCCCGACGCCCCTGCGCTTCCCGCTCCTGCGACTGTGGGGTCCTGCGGGCTGAAGGTGGGGGCGGCCCCGCCGGGGCGAGGGGGAGGCCGCGCGTCTGGGGCCGGAGGAGCCGCATCTGCCGCTCAGAGCCGTGTTCACGCCGCTGGAAGTGAGAGCTGCCGCGTATTCGGAACGGGCCACGCAGCCGTCTGGGGAGTCCTGTGATGACTGTCCACATTTGGGGGAGGTGATGCTTTCAGATACGCTTCATTTCCATCGTGGAAAAAAACCCAGATTGGCTTCGTTAATGAAATTGCTTTTGGCAGTCCTTCACGGGTGGGTTCGACTGAGCGGGGGACTCGGGGACACTCGGGAATCTGGTGGAAACGCACATGGTCACTCTGTTTCCGTTGTAATAAGGCAACTTGATTTGCATTTCCTCCATGATTTCAAGCGTTTTGCGGCTCTTCTCGCTGCCCTGGCTGATGCTCTGTCGTGCACGTGGGAGAGAAGCTCCTGCCCTGATGAACCCTCCTCTTCCCCGATGGCGGTGACCTGCGGCCTCCACGCGGAAGCTCCGGCAGCAAGCGGCAATGTCATCACAGTTGTGTTGCACTAAAGCAAAGTCAGCTTCAGAAAGTCTGTTATTGCATGGCTGGATTTTTTTTTTAAATCATGACCTACAAAAATCTTAATTTGTAGTTGCTGGTTAGCAGTTATGTCAGTGAGGTTGTATAGTTTGTCCTGAGAGGGTTAAATGAATGCTGAATGCATACTTGTGCTTGGTGGTTATTTTTTAAAGGTTCTTTACAAGAAACCGTCTAATTAAGAAGCATCCTTGATGACGGTTTTCTTAAATCGTGCGTTTGCATGTAAATAACCACTGCAGAACTTTAGGAATCCTGCATGTGGGGGTGTCCCAAGAAGAGGGAATGCCGTCGTGTGCCAGGAACTCGCTCCTGCTCCTGAGGGCCAGTCAGGCCGTCCTTCCTCCCCCCGCCATCCCAGCTGGCCACTGGATGCCTGAAGCTGTGCACCCGGTGGTTTCCCATCTCCATGTCTGCGCTCAGGAGACCCCGGAGAGGAAAACCTCCATTCTTGGTCACCTCTAGACCACCGCAGACCAAACACAGAGGCTGGCCTGCCTCCGCCCAGCTCCTCTCCAGAAGTAATGTCTGTTCCAAATGTTCAAGACCAGCCTCAGCACAACCCCTGCACCCTCATCCTCCAGGGAGGGCAGGTGCTCCACCTTACGGTACGGCCTCACCCACCTTCGTCTGCAGGGATGAAGCTCACAGGAAGGTTTAGGGAAGTGAAGTGAAGGAGCAAAGACAGGAGGGCTCCCAGGAAGTAGCCCAATCCCCAGCTTGCCTGTCGGGACAAGTGGAGCTGCTGTGCCACGCCATGATCATCCTCCAGCACTGTCCCCGCCCCCACCCTGTGCTACGCCATGGTCATCCTCCAGCCACAGTGTCAGGATAACACAGCCACAGCGTCAGGAGAGCACAGCCACTACGTCGGGTGAGCACAGCCACAGCGTCAGGAGAGCACAGCCACGGTGTCCAGATAACACAGCCACGGCATTTGGATAACACAGCCACAGTGTCGGGAGAACACAGCCACAGTGTCGGGAGAACACAGCCACAGCATCGGGATAACACAGCCACGGTGTCGGGAGAACACAGCCACAGCGTCAGGAGGGCACAGCCACTGTGTCTGGATAACACAGCCATGGCATCAGGATAACACAGCCACGGCGTTGGGAGAACACAGCCACGGCATCGGGTAACACAGCCACAGTGTCAGGAGGGCACAGCCACAGTGTCTGGATAACGCAGCCATGGTGTCCAGATAACACAGCCACAGCATTTGGATAACACATCCATGGCATCGGG